TTGTGCATCTTCTCCTCCTGCTCCCGTATCTTCTTCTCCTGCCTCCACATCTTCTCCTCCTGCTCCCACCTCTTCTCTTCTTGCTCCCGTATCTTCTCCTCCTGCTCCTTTATCTTTTCCTCCTGCTTCCACATCTCCTTCTCCTGCTCCTGCCTCTTCTCCTCCTGCTCCCGTATCTTCTCCTCCTGCTCGTGTATCTTCTCTTGCTGCCTCCACATCTTCTCTTCCTGTTGCTGGTACAGGCGGTTCCACAACTTGTTCTCTTCCACCTGGGCTTGGAGCTTCGCTGACACACTCTGAAGCTCCTTACCCAGGTGGTCAGCCTCCTCCTGCAGCTGCTGCTGGAATAGTGAAAGTGTTGGTTTGAACCTCAGAAGGAAACAGACTCATGGGATAGTCATCTAAATGTAATCTATCAAACAATGGTTTTCACCCATGATCCTTTAAAATATATATTTTTAAGCCCTAACTCTGAGATTCTGATTCCCCAGGCAGGGCCCCACTTTTGTAGATTTTTAGTACACTCTAGAGGATTCTATGGCGGGACCAGAACAAGGACCCAAATATTCTAGCTCTTGACTGGAGCCTCCCCATACCCTGCATGATCCCTAGACCATGGTCCCAGCTGGACGGGGATCCCACAACCCCGGGGGCTGTAGCCGCTTGCCTGTGGCAGCAGGAGCTTGGCCTTCTCCAGCTTCCTTTCTAGCTCCTTTACATTGAGCTGGATCTCAGACTTCTCAGATTCTACAAGTCGAAGTTTTTCTTGTAGTTCGGCATTTTTCTCCTTCAGCTCATCATCGGTTATGCTACGACCAGAGGCAGTAGATAAAGGAATGAACGAAGAACAGAAAGGACTGCTTTGGTGATCAACCCTCTGCTTTCACCCCACAACCACAGAACCGTGGCATTGGATGGGACCCCAGGAATTTAAAGCCCCAGGTGGCAGGCCAGAGAGAAGACATGAGTTGCCTGAGGCTACCCCATGAGTCAGTGGCACAGCCGGCACTAGAGCTTCCCTGTGCACACATGAAAACCTGTATGAGCCTCTCACCATGCTCACCTGTACCCCCACCTCCCAGCACACCCCCCACGCTAAGAGCCCCCAGACCTCCCATCCCACCGTCCCCCATCCTACGTGTTCCTGTACAGTTCCAGACTCAGGGCGTCCCTCTCCTTTGTTAACTCCTCGATGTACTGCAAATAGAGAAAGGTGAAGTCAGGATAGAGCAGGCAGAGGAGCGGCTGGCCGACCAGGAACAACAGCCACCGTGACCACTCCACACACCACTCCCCACTCCCGGTCACACCTGACATGCTCTCAAGGCACTTCCAAGCCCAGGATCTCCTTTGGTTTTCTTTTTTGTTTTGTTTTGTTTCTTTCTTACTTACTTTTTCTTTTTCTTCAGGCAGAGTTTGACTCTTGTTGCCCTGACTGGAGTGCAATGGCGCAATCTCAGCTCACCACAACCTCCGCCTCAGCCTCCCGATTAGCTGGGATTATAGGCATGTGCCACCACACCCGGCTAACTTTGTATTTTTAGTAGAGATGGGGTTTCTCCATGTCCGTCAGTCTAGTCTTGAACTCCCAACCTCAGGTGATCCGCCAGCCTTGGCCTCCCAAAGTGCTGGCATTACAGGCATGAGCCAGAGCACCTGGCCCTCATTTGTTTTTCAAAGAACTCAGTAAAGGTGGAAGGGACAGGGAAAGAAATTGAATTCATAGCTGGCTAGCAGGGGCCCTGAGACATCAGATGGTATTGCTATTGTTCTTACTGTTACTACTACCACTGTTGGAACCTTTACTGACTGCTTCACCAGGCACTGCACTAACAATCCCATTTAATCCTCACAACCTCCATAGGAGACGGTTACCATTATTACCTCTATCGTATAGATGAAAAACATGGGGTATTGAGGGTTAAGTGCTTGCCTAAGATCACGTAGAGCTGGGTTTTCAACACCCAGGTATGTCTGATTCTCTAAGCCCATTCTTTCACTGGGGGTAGGGGCAAAGATAAGAAGGAGGAAATTAATCATTTGTTGACATTTTGAAAGGATGATACATTCGAATCGTCCAAAACTCAAAGTACAGAAGGGAAATATCTCCCCCCAACACTGTTCCTCTCTCCTGAGATGTTTATGAATCTTTACAAACATGTTTATTGTATATTCCCATAATACACACACACACACACACACACATACACAGGCTCCCTCTCTCAACACAAATAATAACGTACTCAAGCTACTCTTCTGTACCTTGATGGTATAAGTATCCTAACTGCCACTTGGGACTTGGCCAAGGCCACAGTCAAATATGGGCAGGGCGGGCACTTGGCCTGCGAGCTCTATGTCCAGTGCTCACTCCCCATGGCGCCCCCCAGCTCACCCACAGCAGCCGACTCAGCCCCCGTCAGCCTCTAACCACCACACACAAAAGCAGCAAGAAATGGCCATGCTGCATTCTGGGCAGGACACTCCATCCTGCAGAAGGGACTTTTAGGCTCACTCCTCCATCTGTGAAGCCGGGTTCCCAGGGGACGGGGCAGGTGGTTGGACTCACCCTGTCAGCCTTCTTCTTCTGTGTAGCAACAGCAGAGAGATCCCGCTCTAAATCTCTTGCAAAGTTCCATGAATCATGCAGGCGGCTGACCAGATGCCTGGACTCTCCTGGAATGACAGACATTCAGATGCGGCCCAAAGGATTCCCCCTAAAGGCCTGTGAAAGTGCCAGGTTGAAGGATGACCGGGTGCCAGATTCCCACCTTCCAACTGCTGGACAGCACGCTGGCTGTAATAGAGTGCCGTCTGAAGCTCCGTTTTCTCACATGTAAGGATTCGTATGGTATGAACCTGGGCCTTTGGGAGAAAAGACAAGCAAGTGCTGAAAGAGAAGCAAAGAAACCTTCTCCAGAGGACAGGAGGGAACTTCACACCTTCCACTCACCTCTAGCTCCCTCCTTAGGGCTTCCTGATGTTGGTGGCTTGCCTTCTTTTCCTATAGAAAGAGGAAGACAGAGCTCTTACTAGGGGGAGGCAGAGATGGCACAGCAAGAGATGCCCCCAGAACGGCACCACTGCCCCAGGACAGGCCCACCCATGGGACCAGGTTATCAGGGACCCTGTGTGGACGGGGTGGGATCCGGGGGGTGAGCCTTCTTCCCCAGGCTGGGAGTGGGCAAGATGAGACTGGGGCCTCTACGGCTGAGTGCCCTCCAAACCCAGCAGTCATGTGAGCAAACAAAGAAATCACGTTACTTCTTCCAGCTGGGCTCGGTTCTGTTGTTTCTGTGGGGAGAGTCAAAGGAAGGTGACCGAGGGTGGCCCCTTCAACTCTATTCCCCAGGCCAGGAAGCGGTAGGCAGGGGCCAGGGATGGATTTTAAAGGTAGTTCTCAGACCCAATGGGAACACGAACTGGTAAACTCTCCTCAACTCCCAAAGTAAAAGGACTTGGGTCTTTGTTGGTTTTTGGCCACAGCCACAGAACTCAAAGTCTGAAACTAGATTCTCTCAAAAAGACAGTCACAGAAACCTTCAGAGATGGAGTGTGAGAAGAGCCCACCCTTCTGCCAGCTTGTGATTTAGAAAGGTGCATTCATTCAACAAACATTGAGTGAGCACATACGGGCCAGGGACGGTTCTTCACAGCGCGGATATAGGACGGAAAAGGCAGATAGGAACCCTTGGTCCCGAGGTTTCCATTCTAGTGGGCCTTTAACTCTCGGGCTCTCAGAGCTAACAGACAACTCTGATACTCTCTAACTCTACCTCAGGAAACGCAAGCCCGAGAAGGAGAGTTTACAGCAGGCCGTGGACTAGGGATTAACATAAAAACAACAATGATAAATCTCATGTAAACTTCACCAATGTAGGTAAAACCACACCACTCCTATTTTACAGATGTGAAAAGAGAGGCCCAAAGAGCTCCAGGAATTTGCCCTATATCATATGCCCAGCAGATGGAGAGGATTCAAACCCAGAATTCTTAAGCAGTACCTGGGAGTTCTTCCACAATCTTAACAATTACCCTCCACCACCCCTTGGGCCCTCTGTCCCCAGGAGCCTGGCCAGCCAAGACTCACATCCTCAGGTGAGTGGCAACCACCAGAAGTGGTTGTCTCAGGGTTAGCACCATTATTTATGTTCTTCTTTTTGGTGTCGCTTGCTCCTGTACCAACACTAGGGTTGGCCTGGGGATGGTAGTCTCTCAACTGTGGAAAGGAAGAGCAGTGATACTCATGAGAACTATAAACTCCTCCAGTCACATCCTGCTTTACAGTTTATACAAAATAGTCTTATGCACCATCTGATTTAATGCCACCAACAACTGTAGGAAGTGTTGTCACAATCACTTAGTGACTGAGAGGGATTGATACCATGGCTGAACAGAAGGCAATAATGGAACTTAAACTCAGTCTTCTGACTCTGAGCTCTGGGATTTTGCCACAAATCAGCAGCTGCCAGGGACCAAAACCAGAGGCAAAGGCAGAAAAGCAAATATGACGTAGGCAGGAGCTGTACACCGTGTGGTTTACAGTCATACACCCTCACACGTCTGTTAGTGTGAAGAAGTGCACCACTACCTCTCAAACATTTATATTAATGTATGCTCATGGCAGAAGGCTGCCTTTCTGTGAAATCTGGGAACGTAACACAAAGAGGACAACCCAACCCTCATTTCAGAGAGAAGTCTTGTATATTCTTATGAATTTGTGTGACAGTCACTCCTAAGTACATTAATGTTTTGTCTCTCAGTAGACTCAAAGGAAACTGATGCTTCAGAAAGATGCCCCATATTTATCCTGTGGCACTCGAAGTACCCCAGGTGGAGATGACATGAGGAAGATTCAAGCTGTCAAGTTCAGTTTCCCAAGATCTGTTCCACAGAAGATAGGCAGATCTCACTCCAGCAACCACTGACTGAGGGGCACTCTGGTCCCAGAACAATGGAGAATTCAAATCTGAGGTGGAGAACTCAGAAACAATGTTAAAATCTCTCTGGAGAGTAGAAGCCTGGGAGAAAACCAAATCAAACCTGTTCTCCCATTGCCACCCAGAGACACTGTTAACGTGTTGAGCTCATGGGGGACTTGTTGGCTTTTCACACTGTCAATGTCTGTATTAAGGAAGTAAGGCAGCCTGAAACCTCTCTCTCCTAGGTCCCAGGGTCCCCATTCCCCTTCCAGCTGGAAACCTGTGCTGCAACCAGAGGAACCTGAAATGGGCAAAAACACTTAGGGGACTGGGTCCTAAGTCCAGAGACCGGTCTCGTTGCAGTAATGACAGTTCCTAGAGGGACTGCGACATCACTACATTCCACTCCTCGGTGGAGTGGTGGGGGACACGTGAGTGCAATGCCCAAGTTGCCGCTTTGAGATTCGGGAGGGGGGTCACAGGATTGGGACCCAGGTCCTTAGAGACGCAAGCCCAAAGAGCCCAGGGAGGTCAGGCTTGGGGCGGTGGGAGGTGAGGGCCGAGTATGGAGCAGGGAGCCCCAGGAGTCACCTGTCCAAAGTGACTCTGGGGCAACTGGTGGAGGGCAGGTTCTGGGGCACCCAGGTGCTTGGAGACATGAGCCCAAAGACCCCAGGGAGGTCGGGTTTCGGGTAGCAGGAGGTAAGAGTGGACTATGGAGTGGGAAGCCCCAGAAGTCACCAGCTCAAAGTCACCCTGGGGTGACTGGTGAGGGCAGGGGCAGGACTCATGAGGGGGTTGGGCTGGCTCACAAGATTTGGGTGTGGGGAGCCCAGAGGCACTGGGGGAGGGGCAGCCAGGTGTGCCTCAGGAGTGGCACAGACTCTGGCAGCAGTTTGGCTGTCAGAGGGAGCCTGGGGCTGAGTTGGGGTGCTGCAACCTGGTACATTTTACCTTTTCCTTGGCCTTAGCCGATTTTTTCTGTAGGGTTTCTTCGGACATCATGGGATGGGTAGGGCAGTGGGGTTGGGGCCACATCAGCACAGTCCAGGCGAGGACAACTATACACCTCCAGTCACCTGCCACGTAGCTGTGTGACTGAGCCAGAGGAGGCATAACCAGGGCCACAGTAGAATGCAGAATAGGGGCGTGGCCTTAATGCTTCAAGCTCATTGGTCAATAAGATGCAAGGGAAAGGAGGCGTGGCCAGACAGCAGCGTGTCATGAAGGACCTGTGGTGTCACAAGGAAAGCCGCCATGCAACTGCTGTCCCCGCCCACTCCAGGAGAGGGGCGGGGCTGGCTTTCACTTTAAAAACTTTAAAACTGTATAACCTCAATTGAGGTACAAATCCTATTAAAATGGAAACTTATAATGTGCTTGATGATTGATAAAGACTATATTATCCTATATTTCAATAAGATAAATAATCACAATGATTTCTCTTTTTTGGAAAAACTTTCTCTTATTCTCCTATATTATTGTTAAGGTTTTATTAAACAAACAAACAAAAAAAAACAAGAAACCTGTCTAACATCTTTAAAAACACAAAGCTTTAGAGCCAGGTGTGGCGGCTCATGCCTGTAATCCCAGCACTTTGGGAGGCTGGGGTGGGTGGATCACCTGAGTTCAGGAATTCAAGGCCAGCTTGACCAACATGATGAAACCCTGTCTCCATTAAAAATACACAACTAGCTGGGCATGGTGGCAGGTACCTGTAATCCCAGCTACTTGGGTGGTTAGGCAGGAGAATCCCTTGAACCTGGTAGGCGGAGGTTGCAGTGAGCCAAAATCATGCCACTGCACTTCAGCCTGGGCTACAGAACGAGACTTTTTCTCTAAATACATATATACTTACACACATGCATACCTACCTACACACACACACACACACACACACACACACACACACAGAAAGTTTTCCATTTAATAAGCACTCAAAGGTCTTTACAAGTTTAAAACAAATACAGGACCCTTCTAAAGTAAGGCTAAATGCTAAGTGATGTGGGAGAGAAAAGGACATAAATAACGCCGACTCTCCTGAGGTTAATCACTAAATCCTATTTTTCTAGAATCACCTGGCCTCTCTAAGCCCTGAAAATGAAACTGAATTTCTCACTTGATACTTGGCTGTGACTTGCAATCATGAAAACCAAGAACTGTGTTCTGTCACTGTGTAGTGCTTGCTACCTGGGATCAAGGGTTGACTTTTTCATGATTTGCTCCATTACCTGTGTGCTTCTTATCCCAAACTAAGCTTTTTTCTAAAGTTCTACGATTTATAGTTTTACTGTATTACTTCTTGCTTTTCAATGGATACAAAGCAGAGTCCTGCTAGGCACATTTTGTATACCTGCAAAGATGCAAAACTAAACAGTTCCCTCTGTTCAATATTAAAACAAAAGTCCTGTA